GTATATGCTCTCAAGTACTAATGTAATAATATTGAATCCTGGAAATTGGCTTAAAGCCAATTTCACTGGATTGATATAAATACGTTAGTACTTGAGAGCATGAAGAAAGCATAGCTTTCCTCAAAGAATCAAAATTAGTTTGGCCTAAGGCCAAACTAATCAAAAATCTATAATAATTGGTAATTACAAATTAATTATTGAAAAATTATTAATTAAAAAAATATAAATATGAACATAGTCAAATAAATAAATTTAATAAAAAATGAATCAAGATATTAGATTACGAGAAGAAATTGTTAATAACTATCGGGATTCAGTAGTTGTAGTAAAACAACCTGAATTACCTACCTCAGAAACAGAATTTATTGATATTTTTTTTAAAGAGAATTTAGAACAGTTAAATAAGTATAAATCATTATTTAAAGATATATCTGATGATGATGAAAAAGAAAAAACTTATGCTGTAATTTGCCAAAAGGATATTTGTGAAAGGTATTTACCATTGGTTGAGCAATCGATTAATGATAAATATAAAGCTATTAAAGAAAATTATCATGTGATAAAATTCATACATAGATTAAATGTATTGAAAACTGCTGGAAATTTTTTGTATAAGTTATATAGATTTATTGATAAATCAATAAATTTAATAAAGATGAATCAAGAAACAGAACAACTTCTTAATGAATTTAATAATGAATTAAGATTGATGAATCGAAATATTAAAGGAATCGAAATTGAAGCAGAACAACTCCTTGATGAATTTAACAAATCATTTATTAAAAATCATCAAGATAGAATTAGATTACCAGAAAATGAAAGAAAAATGGTCGAGAAGAAACAGAGAGAATTCGTACTTCGATGCTTAGATTCAGGTGTCGATAAATTATCAGAATCAGAAAATTTTATTTATTGGACAGCGTGTTATTTAGAATATGGTTTTGGTGCTGAGTATACCGATGATGACAAAAGACAGAAGGATCAGAAAAGAAGCATTGAATTGTATAAAGATGCCGCTGATAGATCACATCCCGATTCCGCAATTCGTTACGCGACATATCTAATGACTACTTTTAAGAAAGACGTTGAAGAAAAAATAAATGAAAAACATAAACAAGATGTTTCTCATTATCTTCGTGTAGCAGCCGACCAAGGAGGACATTCTGA